TGTATGCACATATGTATGTATGTATGTATGTATGTATGTATGTATGTATGTATGTATTCATGTATGTATGTGTGTGTGTGTGCATGACTATGTACGCATGCAGAGCCCCGGCCCCTACTTGGGCAGCTGGCCTGCCCCACTTCCCGACGCCCAAGCGTTTCACCCTGGTCAGAATCCCTATAAGCCTGCGCTTAGCGCACCTTCCCTGTTTGCAAGGTGTCACTCGGAGGATACCCGCAGGCGCCCAGTAGGGGCTTTGGTCAAACCATGGGGGATATCAGCAGATGAGGTTCCGCAGCTTTGCAAATCCAGGCACCGTGACGTGGATAGTTCCAGAGATTCGGGCCGGTCTTGCGCTCTATCATCGACTACGGTGTACAACTAAATCTGCCTCGAGTGGACGTGTGTGTCAGAGGCCATCAGCGTGTAAATGCTACACACTCCTGAATCCGAAAAGTTTTAAAGCCCTTCCAAAGCCCCAGAGCCTGAAACGGCACGGTAAGTGTACGCACAGCTTCACTTGATGTGGCGAGGCCGATGATGAGCCTCGCTCATGGGCCGCAGGCTTATTCATTGAAATCGTGTTTGGTCTGTCCCCTCCAGCATGGTTACTTCGAGACTCGAAGCGGCGAATAGCCCCCAAACATTGTCCCTGTAGCATAGAACTTAAGCACTCCCGAGCCTCGCTACCGGTGTCTCCTAGTTCGACGATACGCTTGAGGGCGGTGAAATGGTGATGCTAGTGATGCAATTCCTGCAGCCGCTTGGTCCAAGGCACGCGCCAGTAGTTCAAATCACAGAGTCCAGACGAGAACAGGTCCAACAGCCCATATTGTCGTGATTTGACCTCCAGCTTTATGCACAGAACAGGAGCTGCATAAGCGCAACTTAAATTCAACCAGTCGTGATGCTTGAGCTCCATGCAGCGAGCGTGTCGGTACTGTCCGACTGCAGGTTGACATACACAAGACACTGTTCCCAAAGAGAAGGGTTCCACCATGTGGCACAAGTCACCTTATCAAACCTTCTTGAGGGGTTGTGCTATCAGCGGCCTTGAGCCCTGAACTCCCCCCTTCATACGTCAGTGTCAATCTTGAAAGGATTAGTTGTTGTGCTTGTCATTTGTCCCCATTGGCTGACAAGCCGTACGCCCCTCCTCAAACGCGAAACCGGGCGATCTGAGCCCTAAACCCAGTTTTCACAGAGCTTCCACTGAATGCACCTTGGGTGGCGAGACACGTCCGAGGCCAGCGACTCCAAGATACTTGTGCCAGTCTAAGATTGCAGGCTTTACGGATTTTAGGGAGAAGGATGCCAAGATCTATGCGGCAAGTAAACCGGAAAGTCACATGTACTAAGGTTGTAGCATGATAAGATGTACAAAGTGGCTGGGACATTCAGATGTACTAAGCAACTTCAGTCATCAGGTCTCAGAATTCCGGGTGGTTGCCAGTAGAAAACAAATGAACGCAAGTATTGAGTCTCGTCTTCCGAGCATGGTGGTGGGCTCTATAGAAAGGGTCGTTGCCGAACTGCAGAGCGCTGAGATGGATATCCCTTTCTACATGCATGTGCTCGGATGGTGACATGGAGCACCCCCAGTCCACGACCCCGCTGGACAAAACTGCAGATTGCTTGTTCCACATGGATAAACCTAAAGCCTTCGCTAAGCAAGATGAACATTGGAGCCGGGACCACACTGCACTGACACGGCTTTGTGAACATCCGCAGCGTATAGCAGGCTCGTGTTCATATCCCGGGGGGTCTCGTTGTACTTCTAGTAGACTTATTATTGGAATTACGGTTAAGCCTTAGGCCAACAACATCCAGGCAATCAGGCATCAACTGAACTCATCATCGAGAGCCATCATCCCATCAGGCAGAATCATGAGTCCTTTACATATATATATATATATATATGTGTGTGTGTGTGTGAGTGTATAAGTATATGTAAGATCACGCCCCCCCTCAAACCCTGAAGCCCAGCCCGAAACCTCCCAGCCCACGACATCGACCCTGGGACCCCTGCGGAGTGGGCTTTGGAATCGGACTTCTTTGCCTCCTCGGACTCGGACTGGCGAGCGCCGGCGCCTCAGGTTTTTTGTGTTCATCTCGGTCTGGGCAATTGGAGACAAACAGACAAACTCGGGAGGGGGGGGGAAAGGGGCGCGACGCTTTTCGGTGCTTTCTGTAACGATCCTATCATTCGGTGTGTGTAGTCAAGCAGGCTTTTAGGTTCTGCAACTCCCATTCCCACGATGTCTTCCCGTCTTCCATCTGCGCCTCATCATAGGCATCCTTTGGTGATATGATCACTCTCATGTTAGGTCTCTGGGACGTCGGGTTCCTGGGAGTCGACAAAGGGCCAAGTTCTTCATGGTGAAATCTTGTACGGCCTGTAGTCGTGGCGTTATAGTTCCGGTCATTTCGCGCTTGGAAGCAATGCTGCCTTTTAGTGAGGGCCTTTCTGGATTCAACGGCTGTTTCAGGGTTCATAACGCACCTTCTGGCAAGGAGTCGTCGCTGGCCGGCTTTGTTTGGAGTAACCGCGTCTGGGAACTTGGTGTGAAGGCTTCGGATTCTGGCACGAGGGCTTGTGAAAGCAAAGAAACCCGACAAATCCCGAAGCATAAGTACGAATCTTCGAGCTTGGGACCGCGTGGCCTTGTTCGGGCAGCACCTATGTGCCAGACTGGATTTGCTTCTCATGATCCACGTTTGTGCTTCCGGACGAAGCTTCGATAAGCCTCCCTGCTCCATGTCCAAACCTGCATTGCAAACTGTATACGCCCTAGCTGTGGTCTCCATTGTAGTTTCTGTTTGGGTTAAACCAGCTCTATGTCTAGGATCCTATAAGGTAACCGCAAAAAGGAACTACAATGGAAACGGCAACAATGCCAAAGCCTCAAGGCTCATGTCTCACTTCCCACGGAGTGCTGAAGACTGGACGGCTTGGGCGGCCTGGGCCGAGGTCGGACCCTCTCACTTCCTCTAGGGGCCTAAATAATTACCTACATTATTTTGGGGGCTCATTAGAATTATGGTAATTAGACCCCAAAACCCTATCCTAGTTATCAAGGCCCCTACATTAGGGTTCGTTCCTCTGTGCGTTTCTCAAACTTGGGTTCCCGGTTACTCAGTTCAGGCTTGATGCTAGTAGAAGAAGCATCCTGAAGTGGAGGTTTTGCCTTTTTGGCCGCCTAATTCCTGCAAGTCCCAAATTGCGAAGCATACTTGGCTTCAGCATCTTCCAGCATGTAAAGCTTCTCCAAACCTCGAAAGCCCAAGGCGGACGAAACAGATGTACACTAGTAACAGTGCGCTAGTCACTGCATGGGTAGCTCGAGCCCCTTGGCGTGTGTTGGCATTGGGGGCTCTACCCTGGCGAGAGAGAGCTGAATAGAATTATCGTTCTTGTGATTTTGCAAGTCAACGCATTGGAGAGTTTGAGGGTTTACGACTTAGGGTTTTGAAAGTGACCTTGAGAAAGCCGCTTGACTTAGCCTGCCATACTGAGTTTCCGATCTTTATGTTTGGGAGCCATTGCTGCGGAGCCCCATCGGGTGAAGCTGACAAGCCCTGAACTCGGCACAGGCCATTAACACAGCGCAAGATCCGGCCCTCGCCTGTCAGCTGGCCTTTCGACCGCCAGGCCGACTCAGGGATCCCGACGCTTACAGTGACAAACATCATCGTGAAGTGAAAGAGATTTACGTTGATATGTTGGGCAGATGTGCCCTTCGCTGTTGTAACAAGTGTTGCTCAAGTCCTTACAGAGTATGTCATTGCAGCTGCCGTCAAGAGGCCCCTTGGTCTGCAAAAACATGTTTTCAGCCACACGAGCTTTGCTTTCATATTCGGGTTCATAGAAACGGGTGCCAAGCTCGTGCTGTTAAGGTTGAGGCCTTGAGGGCCTCGGGGGGGCAAGGATCGATCTCGCTACCACTCAGCCGTCAGACCTCATATGTGCCTGCAGCATCGCGCAAGCCAGGAGCTTTCGAGACACAATCTTATGAAAGAGCCTGGCTGTGGAGATCTTTCAACTTCTTTAAGATGCAGGCCCGCTCAGAGCAGCTGCCAATGCTGCTGCTTCTGCTCCACGTGAAGGCCATACGATGGCATGTTGGGGTTTAGGGTACATTTTCAATTTACCTCGATGTTCGTTTGTCACCGCGATCCAGGTTTGTGGGGGGCATCTTTCCTGGAGTTTCTTCTATCTATAAAGTGAGTAGGACAAACAGACAGGGAAGCTGCCAGACAGACAGGAAGGCAGGCAGGCATAGACAGACATATGTGTGTATATACGTATATATGGATACACACGTATCTTCCTGTGCCTACCTTCATAAGGTTTGATCTCTACCCCNNCCCCCCCCCCCCCCCCCCCCGGTCGTTCTCGCAAGAGATTTGAGACACTGCTGCAAAGACGAGGGCGACAAAGTCGTCCGGGATGTAAGTTTGGCGACCCCTTGTCGAAGGGTGCAGGGGGTCAGGATGTTCCTTTTGCGGTGTTGGGAACCGGGAATGCGTGACATAAACGTTATAATCATGCTAGGGAGCAGCTGCAGTTGCTCATCGAAGAATATTATTGCACTTGCGACACATGATGCCTGCATAGCCCGTGTACGAGAAATAGCTTTCTCCTGCTCACTGACGGCATTCAGTTTGGTAGACAGCTTTGCGATGCGCTACTGCCCGAAACCGGAAGGAGACACTACCAACAGCGACCGAACATCAATAAGGCATGCCGATATTTAAAAAAGTATAGATCAGGAGTCTCCATCTCTCTCTCTCTCTCTGCAACTGTCACTAGGAGACCTTCGTCGACCAGACCTACCTGGCAGCATTCTTTGCCGCTGGGCATAATTCGCGATGAAGCCAGGGTGCTGTTGTTGCACTGCTTCCGATTGCCACTTTACGAGCCAGCAATGTGTATCGAAGAGAGGCGAGTCGTCCGTAGATATCGACAGAAATACCCGTACAAAGCTGGTGCATTCGCAACACGTGCATGGGCAGGCGCATATGACCTCATAACATATACTTCGAGTTCAGGATCATGCAAGATGTAGGTCAGCAAATCCCGGTGTGCGCGGGGACGGGCACAAATCCTATTGAATGGTCGCTGCTTAACACGACATATTCGATCAGCCATGTGTGTGCCTGTGTGTCACTGCTTGATGATGACTTTTCGATACTTGTGGCATGCTGTGAGATGTAAACGAAAGCCTTCATTCCCAGTTTGCAAGGGTTTCAAGATCCCTGTCCTCGCTACAGCGCTGCTACAGGTGAAGACCAGCAGACTGGGACTCAGAATGCTGTTTTTTGTGAGTCAGACTGCCCTTGCCAGGTTTCCGGTTGGCCGGGCTCCTGTATAATCAGGACTTCTATAATCCATAGTTGAGTTTACATGGTGCATTCAATGTTGTATGCAATGCAATCTAGTATACAAGATGTGCTACAGCATGCAATGTTGACTCTTGCGAGGTTGCCAGAGGAACAGCTTCCAAGCTTACTCACGAGTCGCGCAGGAGCCGAGCGACTGAGGACTTAGTTAGGCGTTATGGGTCTATGTTGGGATATGTTAAACGAGTGCCTTCCTTCTAGTATGAAAACCAGTCCACACTTTTATCGAGCTTGATGGAAACCTGTTTCAGTCGCAAGTGCCGAAACGCGGACATCGTAGCCGCAGCTTGGAAAGCTAGTCTTCGTAATCCTGTTGGCCGAAGCCTCGTCCTGCCGGAACTACTTATCAGACAGAACAGTTTGTTGCCGTGAAAAGAGTACGCCATGTCTGCCCAAGATGCCAACATTCCTTAGCCATAAAACCCAAAGACCGCAGGGACACCTGCAACCGTAACCCTACTCCCAATCGCAGAACCAAAACCTCAAGCCTCAACTCCTAAAAGTCTCTAAGCAAAACTCACTCGCTCAGGGCCCGAAAGCTAGAAGTTGTAACTCCAAGCCCCGAGACTTCAATTCTGATACGAGCTTTAGTTCAAGCTGCTTGAAAGCTTTGCGCAAACTCGGGCATGCATACGGCCGCAGTACCGTTCTGTACCGTACAAGACCGCACCACACCGCGTGTAACCAAACCGAACCTAGCACTGCATCGCATAGCACAAACAACGGGGTTTAGGGTTTAGGGAGGGGGAGAGAGGGAGGGAGGGAGGGAGG